ATATATATATATATATATATATATATATATTGGTTGATTATCCTATGCTTAATTAGTAGTGGGGCTCATTGGTTTTTCTGGTTTGAAAGCGTTGGGACGGTTGTCAGGCGGATTACACATGTGGCTTATCTGGCGGAGCTTTAGTTGCTTGGTGCTGAAGTCGCTGTCCATCTGTATGCTAAATTTCATTCCATGCTTGAAAGGCATTATCTTTAGAAGTTTATGTACAGGCCCCACACTCTTATTATTGTAATTATTGTTATTGTTGCTATCATTATTACTACGTGCTATTAATGATAGCAATAGTAACAATAACTAATAATTAATAATTAACAGTTAATAATAATAATAATAAATAACAAATAACAAATAATAATAATAATATTCAATATATGGGATTTACGTTCTTTTGTATAAAACGTAGAAATATTCTAAGTGGTTAATTATAAGCCCAAAGGAGGTTACAAAGCAAGCTTTAACTGGAGGTTGACTAAGGAGGTGTCGAATAATTTGAGTCTCATTTAACAAGTTTTTGGAAATATATGATTGGTCTGAGTAGATTTGGTTTCACAAGTTGTAAGTAACCGACGGACGAGGTCGTCGTTGATGCAGTTTTTTGGTAGATGTGCGGTCGTTAATTCTCTCTTGTTATTATTTCCCGAAGGAGGTCGAAAATAGATTTTATTTAGTTAGCAAGAAGCGCCGCGTCGAAGGTAACAATGTTGTTCAATTCGTTGAGGTGTTTCTGCTGTAGTTTTCAATAGTTCAAAGGAGTGGATTTTTTCATTTTAAGCGGAGAATATCCTCCCCCTTTTGGGTGTTGTAAAAACTGTGATTTTCCAAAAGTTCAGCCAAAAGTTCCTGCTTCGTATGCTGGATGTGTAATGCTAATTTGGATTATTGAACAAAATAAAGGTTAAATACCACCATTTATTGCATAGACAACATTTTTCCAAACCTTGCTGAATTTCTTCTAAGTTGTTATACCTCTTGGAAGATGATTAGGTTCCACCATTTTCATTCGAGTTTCAGGATTTTTCATTGAAACCACTTGGATGAATCGCAGATTTTTTGAACAAGAAATAGTTTGGACAGGCTAGGCGATTTGTATCTTCGTAAATTTGCTGGATTAGAATCTAAATGAAGTACTTTTTTGTAGGACTGTGACAAGTAAGTTTTCTTCATGTCTTTTTAAATACAACAGTAACTCGGCCCCAAACGGCGAAGTTCATGCATGGATAAGAAGCAATTTCGACTGGCCGAGCAAGTGTGGTATAATTTTTATAAGGACATATTTGCAGTTGCTGCAGCAGTAATTATATCTGCAAGCTTCACTTGTATCTGTCAGATCCTTCAATTACCGGTCTCAAACTTACCAACAACACTTATTTCAGCTGCCTTTGTACGTTTATTTATGCTGGCAAACCGAAATTTCAGAAAAAATTTGTTCAAATCATTGCCGGCAGCAGCCACTTTGTCGCCTGATGCGCCTGCTGGTTCACACAAATCAAGCAAACGAGGAAATAAAGGGATCGCTGCAATTCTTAATTCAACTTGCAAAGTGGTATTACCCTGCGCAAACGCTAAAAAAGTCAGGAAAGAAAAGCTGCATAAATTTAAGTAAAACGATTCTTAAATAACTAGCGAAAGATCCAACTGAACAGTTTCGAGTGTTTTGCAAATTCTTCTGCCGAAGACTAAAGGCCGAAGAAAGTGGACAGTAAAAATATGAAAAACTTTCGAAAAAATTTTTTTGGCATTCATAGGTCTAAAAAAATTGAATCAACCCTGTGGTCTTCTGCAGCTCTTAAGATATGCATTTTACAGAAGACAATTTATACAATTGGCCAGAAACTTCGTTTTTTTTTTCAAGGTCATTTGAACAGTGTTTCTCGTCGTCTCTTCACTCTTCATTCTTGTATACAGTAACAGACTTATTTTTCTATCAAAACTAATCTTATCTGGTAACTTGTTTGATTATTGGTACTTCCTAAAATGCAAGGTAACGTTCACACTAGGAAATGAGATTCTTTTTAATAGTGGCAGAACACGAAAATTATCTTCGTTATCAGCGGCTCCGAAGGAAAAAAAAGTATTCAACCGTCCCAGTAGTAAAAAAACATGGTTTTCAGCTAAAATCTTTGGCGCAGACCTGTGACGGTTTGTGACCAGTATGCCGCCTCTTCCTAATCCGTACTTTGCATGTGTCAGGGCATACTTCATCCTCTATTACATGACGGTTTGAACTAGTGGGAAAGATACACTGGCTTTGTAAAACGAAAAGAGTTACGAAAGCTGCTTGATTTCGAGAAAGTAGTTTTAGTGACTCAGGATTTGGAAAAGTGATATTCATGTTAATGCAGTACATAAATATCAGAAATCCTTTGCTTTTGTTGTATTTCATTTGCAGTTTGTTTCAAGGCTCCTCGACTCTCATACATATTATAT